AGCTGTCAGAGCCTGGAGATGCCTAATGATGTACCGAGGGGTTACCTTGCTGTATATGTTGGACCGGAGCTTCGGAGGTTTATTATCCCAACTAGCTACCTAAGTGATCCGCTGTTCAAGGTTCTGCTTGAAAAGGTTGAGGAGGAGTTTGGATTTGATCACAGTGGAGCTCTCACAATCCCGTGTGATGCCGAGACCTTTAAATATCTCATACAGTGCATGGAAAATCACAGGAAAGAACAAGCTGATCAAAGCAATGCAGGTATGGTTAATCAATTTGCCTTTCTCTGCATTTTATTTCTTGATATTTCTGCTTTTTTATCTGAGGTTTCTCTCGGATCGAATGAAATCTATTCAGCTGCTTTTCAATCTCTATTATGTGGTCAATGCAGTTATTTGTTTTCACTAATCTTGGAAATCCGGCGATTTTATTTATTTATTTATTTAATTTTTTTTTTGGCAGCTGAAAACACATCGCCGGTAGAAGAGTGATGATGGTTTGACATCAGTGCTGTTTTTTACTGTGTAAAGAAAGGTATTTGGTAAGAGATATGACAACAATTTATTTTCTTTTTCTTCGTTTCGGTTCTTGAAGACTATCTAGATAGTTGGTATGGTTTTTGATCATGCTATTAGCCGATGATCATCGACTTAACCCCCCACCCCCCGTTCTCTTGTCTAAACTGAAACTGTGTTGACATTTAGATCTGGTTTTTCAATTGGATTTTTACGATTAATCTTCTTTGTTTGGTGCTGTGCTGTACGAGTAATTGTTTCTTAGCTTGCAAGTTGATTGCGAATGCTGGTCGTATCGTAATTCATTAATTAATCTAATTACAATAAAACGGTATTTGATTATTGTGATCTAAACCAAGTCATTGGACTGGCAGAAAATGTATAATATTTGATGATTGGTATAAATAGTTTCAATGACAATTGAAACCAATGCAATCATCTTTTAGTTTTTCAGTTATGTTTAGTTATTATCTTATTGGGCCTGAGGTAGAGTTATATTTAATGCTTAAGACCAACGCAATGGCTAGGGCAGCCCACCACCTTCGGCCTGTCTTCAAGATATCATTTCTTGTGAAATAAATAAGGCAAATTATGGTCTACCTCCCGAGGCTAATGTCCAATTACGAAAAAACTTCTCATGTGTGAGTAATTACAACCACCCCCTCAACTATGCATTGTCTTACGAAAAAATTTCTTCGGTAACCTAAGTATCGACAATACATAGTTGATGGCATGGTTGTAATTACCCAAACAATAGAGGTTTTTTCATAATTTGACTTTATTTCGGGTGATGTCTGTGAATTAACCAAATAAATATGGTAGCTTTTTTTTTTTTTTTTTTTTTTTTTTTAACTTACGCATGTATGTGTGTAAAATATGTATATTTCTACATATATGTAGGTAAAATATGGTATAAAACGAATGATAAAATTGAAAGCAGGAAAAGGAAATAAAATACGCAAGATTAATATTTTGGGTGAATAAAATAAGAAAGAAGCAAAAAGTAATGATGCACATGTGTTTTGTAATGAAATCTTAGTGAATCATCGTACTGTTATCTTCCACGTTAGACCGTTTGTCATGACATAGATTCACACATATTTATATATATAATATAATTACTGCAGATGCTCTGTCACTGTCTTTCTCATAGAGTAGTGAGTCAGATAGTGAAAGTGAAGAACAGCCCCAATTCAAATAGGGTTTGGGTGGTTGTGCTATTTCATCACATGCTATGTTTCGTTCTCCTGTGCTTCCATTTTGGATTTTAATGACATTTTTCACCCAATAAATATTCCATTTTTTCAAGAATTATAATTTTGATCGGTTTACGTTTCTCGTATAGTTTATTGTGTGGTTTAGATCAACGCACATCTCGTTTAAGAATGTGGGACAAAATAAATCTTAGAGGGCCTACTATATCAAGATCAGTTTTTAATTATTGCAACTCTAATCCAACATACCATTACGGATTCCACTAATACCATTGATTATTATGATATGAAATTAGTAATTACCATCACTTTATGTCTTTTTCAGTCGCATTCTATTAATCTTGCCAAAAAGAAAAGGAAGAAAAAAGTTATATGCATGTATGGTTCGTGAATGATTCACGGTGGCCATGTTAATGATTTTTTAGAAATGGGGTTTTCTCGCAAGTTCAAAATATTAGGGTTGTTGTTGTTCTTACCCTGCATGCCTCGTAATGTCCGGTGTTTATAGAGGAATATATATTCGGACGTCAATTCTTTCTTCATTCCTATTAATTCCAATTGAACATGCCTAACATCCCAGTAAGATATCTTCGGATCTCAAATTACTCCCTTTCAATTATATTTACTATGTCACTTCAAGTGAATAGTGAAGTAGTTGCACGTGCCAAAAGTAGCCAACATTCTCTGCACCTGACAGCTGATAGGAACGTGCGTTAAATGTTGTCACACGAGTATCTCGCTAATTTGTAGTCGATCATCCACTCGCTATAGAGACTATTAACTGTTTGTATTCTTGCCGAGGGGAGTTACTCTGGGGCGTCTCATTTTGTGGAATCCCACGAACGACCACTTTATGGGGGGTCGTTTCTCTTATGATCTTTGGATTGTGCTTAGTCGACCAAAATGACTGGAATTGATACGGATCATTAAATGTTTTGAATTTTGTTTGCCTGAATATATACCCTTTTCCTATTTCACAACCGATTATATTTGATACTCTTTTGATTGATACATGGTACCAAAAAAGGAATAGCTTCTTTCATAAGAGAACACATTAAATCCATTATCATGTACCAATTGATGGAGCAATTTGCTGGAGATGGCCCCCACTATATTTCCAAAAATACTGTGGGTGAAAATCATAAGGAAATCTTTAAATTCCGTCAGTTTTGATCCAAAAATATGTAATTATGAGATGAATTTTTGCTATGGATATTTGAAAGTTACAATTTTTCGACTTTTTTTTATTATTGTTATAATTGGAATATATATGAGATTTTTGATTGACTTTGGAAAAAAATAACATCAATTTATTGTATTATTGGTGAATACAAAAACTAATTTTTTTGATTTTCTCTATTCCGATTGAAAAAAAATAATTTCCTATTTTTCGGAATTTTCTTGTAACGAAGCTGAAATTAGTTTTTCACTTCAGGATTTTTTATTTATTTTTTATTTTTTTTTAATTTTTAATTTTTTTTTATCGAAAGTGCTTATTCCGATGCATCTGATTCTCACTCATAATTTTATGTTTGGATTCTAGTGAGAGAACTGAAAAGGGTAGACCTGAAAATAACATTGACATAATTAGGAATTGGGCGAAACTTATCGGACATGGGCTTATGAAGAAAAGCCCGATATATTTGTCAACTCACATGGGCTGGTCTGCCACTGCCACTGGGCTAATAATAATAATAATAATAATAATAATAATAATAATAATAATAATAAATATCTTTTGTGCGTTCCACTACTTGGCATTAATAATAATCTTGTACCAAATATTTATCTAAATAATTAAAAAAAAAAAAATAACAGAAAAGTCCGTTCAAAAAGTGTAATGAAAAGCTCCGTCTAACAACAAACAGAGCGTGTGTGAGGACTGAATCACAAGAACAACCATCTCTAACAACCCAATCATCACTACTCCAATATTTTATGTTCATTTCATCAAATCAATTTGCCTAATTTTTTATTTTAATATTTTATAAATTCATCAATTTCTTTTACAATTACTTCACACATTCAAATTAAATAAAACAAAACCTCGATAAATTAGTAGCCTCGCTTAAATAATAGTTTTTCTCGATCCCGACTCAATAAAAATAATCTTATAAATTAATATAATTTCCCTAGTCCCAACTGCATTAATTTATAAAGGTTCAACTGTATTCGTTTCTATGATTTTTGTTATTTCATATTATCTGACACTACATAATTCAATAAATGAATTAATTACTAATAATCAATTTTGCATATTATTAGTTTTCACAAACAAAATAGAGACTATATAAATCAATTTAGTATATGTTGTGTAGTAAACACGCACAAACACACACATATATAGCTGACTTTATAAAAATTTGGTGCTCCACTAAATTTTTGTTTGACCTGCTGTCCAGGATTAGAAAATAATAATAAAAAAAATAGCAGCAGTATTAATAGTTTATGAGTTTAATAAAAGAAAAAAGTGATTGCTTCCATTTTAATAAGAAGCTAAAGGTCAGATTAAAAGGAGATTAAGGATTAGTTTAAACTAGATTAGGCTTGAAGGAACCTAATCTTCTACCAACTTATGGCTTAACTGCGTCGTCTAACAATTTCTTTTTATTATTTTATTCTGTTTGTTCAAGTTTTTGTCGCTTGTATTTGCAATCTGAATTGATTGAATGACTTAACTCATTTAATTAAGCAGGTTAAGTTATTAATTAGGTTAATAATTTAATATTTTATATTTGATAAAAAAAAATTAATAATATGTTATTTTCCCATAAAATTACGTACAAAATAAACCTCCCGTTTCATTTTTTTTCCTTCTATATTTTGCTGTTTATTTTAAATTACACTTATTTTCGATGAAAATCTCAAAATCTGATCAAACGTTCCCGACATTCACCAAGCCAAATTCAATTTCGCACGATATCAGTATGTCACTTGCGATGTTTCCCGGGTCGGGCTGAAACGTCAGGTGACACCAACCCAGACAAGTTGCTCCCCACGTTTTCGATGAATTTCTCAAAATCTGACCAAACGGTCCTCACACTCACCGAGTAAAATTCAATTTCCCACAACTTCAGCCGTTCACCGGCCGACATTTCCATAGTCGGTCATAAACGTCGGGTGGCACCGCCGGGTAAATTACATGAATCAATATTCAATCGCGCATATATGTTTTTAACACACACACACACACACACACACACATATATATATATATATATATATATATATATATATATATATATATATATATATATATGATGATTGTGATTATTTGCAAAGCAAATTGATGTGGGGCCATTGATAATTATCGTCCATAATATGCATCCTTTATCTCCACGTCTATGTATTATTATTGTTATTATCTTCACTAAAACTCAACCACAAATATTTCATTATTCCACGATAAAAGTTCTCCCTTTATAACTCCCTATTTCTTTTTAACCAAACGGTTATTAAATAATACTTTAACCTAATTATATTTTAATTGAAACATTTGTCACATTATATTAAGTACCATGTAACTCAATAATTAACAATCCTACTTAAATAGTATGTAATATAATAAAAATAGACAACTGAGATTAGAAAAACATATAAATTATTTTAATTAGGAACATGAAAAAACATGCTCGCACATATTCGGACAAACACAAATTGAGATTTGAAGAATTAATAACATCAATTGCAAAATAAAATAAAATCAATGGCAAATAATAGTACTTAAATAAAGTAATTAGCAAATTTACCCATTAGTTAGGCATTTTCTTAATTAATTCAAGATCCGCCGTTAAAAATGGGTTAATCCTCACCGTAGAATAACGAACCAATCGCTTTCTCTCACAAGTATAATTCTACACCGCTAATTAATTCTCACATTATTACACAATTTAATTTGTGGGGAAAAAAAAAGGAATATAATAATAATAAATCGAGAGAAATATACAGCTATACAGCACCACCTATGGGGGTTCCTTCGATGCTACACCCGGTGAAAAACACCGGGTGGGGCATCTGCGGAATCACCAGGGATGATGACCACTTGCAAAAACTCCAGCGCGAATTATTACAAAGGTAACCCGCAAATTTTCTCCAGTAACTACTAAGTGAATGAGTAAAAGAAATCTTCTTCGAAGGGTACCTTCACTACTGAGAGAAAGCGATTGGAACATTCTTCAACGGAGACGCGTAATCTATCATTAAAGCCCCACCTGGTATAACTAAAGAATCTGCCTAACTGTTGGTTGAATTGGC